CTCGACAATGTCGGCTCGCAGCGGGGTATCGCCCCCCACCTCCACGATCTCCTGGTCAAGGAGCACCACCTCAGGCTGCCCCCCACGGCCGCGCTCCCTTACCGACGACGGTTCAAAAACCGTCGCCTCCACCACCATGCCCTCCGGCATCTCGCGCCAGGCCGGCTCCGTGCCGCCTCGCACACACGCCGCCGCCGCATCGGTCCAAGCCCGGACCGACGCCGCCTCCAGCTCCGCCTCGGCCCGGTTCCTGTCACACCAGGCCAAGGCCTCGGCGTCGTCCGGGTCCAGGCCGAGGTCCGAGTCACCTCGTCCCTCCTCCCCGGCCAGTCCGGCGAGGTCGGACCGGCTCATGCGGAACGTGGTCCCTTCGGTGGTCGCGGCCTCCGCCGCCGCCCTCGCCAGCGCGATCGGCGACCTGAAGAAGGCAAAATAAGCAAAAGAGACAAGAAATCCAAGCGCAAGCGGCGAACAAAACTTACCCCGTCAAGACTGGGACTGGGGTCGGCTTCGCGCGCTTCTTATTGGCCGGCCTTCCAGGCTCGGCCGGGTCCACCGCGCGCTTCGATCCGCGGGGTCGCGGCGCGACGCTGTCCTTGCCATGCGGGCGGCACCGAGGACCTGGCTCCGCCCGCGTCGCCGCCTCCCCCGCCCAATGCCGCTACACCAAGCAACCGGCGTCAGCATCGCCTTCACCGCGACACGGACAACAATTCAAGACAAAATGAAGAAGAGAAAGACTCGAAGCTTATCAGCTCGGCGCGCAGCGCCGGTGTCGAACTCGGCCACCTCCTCACCGCATTGGGCCGCAGGTTCCCCTAGTGCCACCAGCGCCACCTACAACGGAGCCCGGGCGTAAGGATGCCGGCTCGCATTCAGAAGAACCTCCCATGACGCGTCGGGACAAACAAGAAGATGCGCGGCGGCAAAGTAAGGAGACCAGATGCTCACCTGCGACGCCGGGTTCGCCTGGCTATACGGTGCCTTGCCAAATGGCCAATCCTCTCCAAGATTGGCCCTGGAGACAGCGTTGACGGCGCGTGCGGCCTGCTCCCCAGACAACCGCGTCACCCCCGTTCAGTTGGGGTCCTGCAGGCCGATCATCTCGCCGATGAGGCAGGAGCTCCTCTGAAGCGGGAGGACCCGACGGGTGGTGAACGCGGCGAGAAGGTCCGTGCCGGTGAGCCCCTCCTGCGTCCTCATCACCGTCACCTGCTCGCATAGGTTGACGATCTCCTGCGACGGGCGCCAGGGCGAGTAGCCCCAGTTTGTCTTCGCCCGCGGCGGTGGGATGGCGAAAGGGGGAAGATTGATGTGGTCCGCGCCAAGATTGCGGACGTAGAAGAAGGAATTCTGCCACTTCTTGGCAGAATCTTCGAGCGAAATCTTGGGGAAATCTGCCCCCGACCGCTTGGAGATGACGGCGGCGCCGCAATTGGCAAACTCCCCGGCCGACGGGCCCTGCTGCTTCAAGGAGAAGAAGCGCGCCCAGAGGTCGATCTTCGGCTCGACCCCCAGGTACCCCTCGCACAGGGTCACGAAGCCGGAGAGTTGGACGATGGCGCCGGCACCGAGATGGTGCGGTTGAAGCCCGAAGAACTCCAGGAAGGCACGGAAGAAGGTGCTCGCTGGCAGCCCGAGCCCGCGCTCGAAGTGAGTAAGGAAGACGATGCGCTCCTGCCCCTCGGGTCGGGGCCTCTGCTCGCTGCGCGACAGGAGGACACCAACGTCCGTCTCCCGCGGCAGGCGTCGCGAAGCTCGAAGCTGCGTGATGTCGTCGTTGGTGATGTTGGATCCCATCCAAGAGCCCGACGGCAGTGCCATGGATGGAAGCGGAAGGAAGAAGAATGACAGAGAAGAGCTCTGCTCGGGGCTGCGGGCGCAGCTGTGCATCAGTGGCAAGGAGCAGAGCGAGAGCAGGGGGACAGGAGGGCGCGAGCGAGAATAATGCCTGCCGCCCCCTTGCCCTCCTCAATTTATAAGCCCCAGTTCGAACGTGGGGAAGTGGGATCGTCTGCACGTGCCCGTTCCACTACCCCGCAATAAGTGCGCACGTACACACGCACTAACTGCGTGGGGAAGTGCAATTGGCCCCCAGACGCCGCAATAAATCCGCACGCGTGGCCAAGGGCGCGCGGCGGCGGGCCCCCAGCTTGTCGCCCAGTCCTGTCACGCGCGTGGCCTGTCAGGCCCCTCCGGCTTCCGGGCACCATGTGGCGCCAGCGCGAAGCCCGAGGGATCGCCTCAAGATTCGGCGGACTCCTCGGTTCCCGCCACGGCCGGGATGCCGCGATCCGGTTTCCGAAAAAACCGGCACATAGTGGGTGTTGCCGGACCCGGCGTTCGCAGATTTCGCCTTGCTCAAGGGGGAAGCTGCGAAGGCCCACTCATCTGAAGACGGCGAACCTTCACAGCTTCGGGGACTACTGTCGGGGGGATGAACCCCACGCAGGCAACGGAACCCAGATCTATTTCAAAAATAGCGGGGCCCGCATCACCCCGCAAACCGGCGTGCGCCAGGCCGGGTCGCTCGACCCGGCAAGACGCGCAACCCGGCCAAGACCCTCGACTCGGCAAAGTACGTCGACCCGACAGCAGCGGCTGGCGCAAGGCAACTCAACCCGGCGCAACCTTGGCTTCCCCAGCAAGCCAAGCCACCCGCGGCGTCCACGGCAACCCAGCCATGGGTCAGCTCCCGTCCCATCCAGGCCGTATGATGGGACGAGACTTCAATCACTGATGACCAAGACTACAGTGCACCCGCCCATGCCCGTGGTCAGCCAGGGCATGGCAACAGTGCCCCTTACCTACCTGCTGACCAGGGCTGCCACGGCAACAGTGTTCCCGCCCTCACCACTGACGGCAGCAAGCGGCGGCCTGACGGAGAACACTGTGCGCGGCTTGACTCGGGCCACGCCATGACGATCGACAAGACGACGCACAGTCCCCCTAGGCACGCGGGGCCCGCACCTATGGGAACCCGGCGAACCACAAGCCCCCAAGCGGGACCCAGCCCGGTACCCCGGACGCCGACAATACGGACCCACCGACTTGGCATATTACCATTGTAACCCTGGGTGGGTTGATCTATAAAACCCCCCAAGAGTCCACGCCTACAAAGGTGTGTGATCTCTCCGAGGGCACAAGAAGCAGAGAGATTGCGAGAATGAGCACTGCATGAACACAAGATAGAACGAGCAAGATAGGACTAGCCACTACATAGCAACACCAAGGAGAAGGAGCAGCCGGAGCCTTGGCCGGCCTCCTTCCTCCTCCAAACAGCTCCAGGAGCGACATTCTACTATCAGCCATCCAACTAAACTCGGCAGGACTAGGGGTGTTATCTCTCCGGAGAGCCCCGAACCTGGGTATGTCCGGCGTCCCGCGCCCACGCATATCAACCTCCCCTCCGAAGCCCACCAGTGCCCTCGAGCCTCCTCCTCTCTTTAGCCATCCCTTGGCATCTGTCATGCGCCCACCACGACACATAGGAACATGTATAAGTCATGAATAAAGCAATAGTAATAAACTAAACGATCATAGTGCTAAGCTAACGGATGGGTCTAGTCCATCACGTCATTCTCTAATGATGTGATCCCGTTCATCAGATGACAACACATGTCTATGGCTAGGAAACTTAACCATCTTTGATTAACGAGCTAGTCAGGTAGAGGCACACTAGGGACATTCTATTTGTCTATGTATTCACACATACTAAGTTTCCGGTTAGTACAATTCTAGCATGAATAACAAACATTTATCATGATATAAGGAAATATAAATAACAACTTTATTATTGCCTCTAGGGCATATTTTCTTCATGCCACACGTGTGGCACAAAGCAATTTCGCTCTGGCGTTTTTATGGCAATTTTAGTTACATGAGGATGGCAACTTTAGTTGTAAAGCATGTCAAGTTTCAGTTTTCTTGTTTTCTATGACAATTTTAATTGTAAAAGTCAAGGCGATGTTATTTCGTGCCATACGTGTGGCACTTATCATTTTGAAAGATCTAATCACCCTTCTCCTGATGCAAGACCGCGAAGAACGGGGTTCCGGAGGCCTTCAATATATAGGCGATCGTGGTACGTAGACGTGGGCTAGACCCACGCCTGAGTCGACAACAACCCACGATCCACGCGTCTAGGATTCGTAGCGCATCGTTTAATGACTCGTAATTAATTCAACTCGACTCAATCACGAAACACGACGCGCGCTCAGGCGAGGCAGGCGACGGAGGAGGACCGCGCGGTAACCACTCTTCTCATGCTCCAACAACACGTGGAAGAGAACCTTTTTACGAAGGTGCAAATCTTCACCCGTTCTCGAGATGATACTAAACTTCTCATCACCTATTCATGTCACCCACATAGAGTTTTAGAGATTTTTTCTGAAATTGTTTTACGGGCCTAAACCCCATCTATATTTGAACGGTGTAGAGGCGACGTCGATCTTGGTGGGTGCGGATATGGAGCTCCAGAGGGGGGAGGGGCACCCCGAAATCTCCCTCAATTTTGTTTCTTGTTTGACATACGAAGTGCGGATTGGTCCATGAAAATTTGATGCATGGTGCTGGATGACATAACCAGGTTATCAAATGTTTAGCACCGTTATTTTAATGTATGGCGTTGGAGATGACCTAAAATGACAACTATTGGCTGTTTTTTTGGGGTAGAGTTGCTGTGACCTGTGAGGCCATCTGAAAGGAGAGCAAGTCAAAAAAGACAGGAGACCGGGTAGTCCACCGCCGCCCCTGACCACACTCTCCCCGATCCGATCCGCCGGCGATGGCCGCCCCTCACCGTGCTTTTCCCGATCCGCCGCCGATGGCCGCCTTCCGCTCTGGCCGACACGCTGCCCATCTCCGCCTGGCCGTACCGCCGCGGCTGGCCGCCCACCCCTCCTTCCGCTTCCCCACCACGCCCCTCCCCACCCCATCCAAGACGCGCCTCCCCGCCGCCGGCGCCGCCTCTCCCTACGCCGCCGCGCTCCTGCGCATCCTCGCGCTCCACTCCCTCTTCCTTCTCGCGCCCGCCGCCCGAGCGCTCCCCTCCCTGCCCCACCTCTTCCTGCTTCCGCCGCTCCTCGCCATCATCTCCGCCGTCGCCATCCTCCTCATCCCCTCCAAGAGCCAGCCCCACCCCTTCCCGGCGCTACGCCACCTCTTCCGTCCCGCCCTCCTCCTGGCGGCGTCCCTTCTCCTCCGGCTCTCCTCCCTCCACCTCATCAGTGACCCCGGTCTCATCGTCCTCGCAGACTCCGCCGGCGCGCTGCTCGCCCGCGCCCTCAACCGCCCCTCCCGCCGCCGCGTGATCTCCGTCGCTGCCGCCTCCGTTTCGCTGGCGGTCGTGTCGCCTTCCCACTCCGTGCTTCTTCTCGCACTCCCCTTTGCTTCCGGCCTCCTCTCCTCGTTCGAGCACTCTGTATCTGCGCGACATGTCACCCGCAGCCGCCACGCCCGTGCGGCCGTTTTTGCCCTCGCCGCCACCTTCCTCTCGGCGCCGGCACTTGCGGGCCTCTTCTTTCTTGATGGCACTGACACCAGCGACGGTGTCCCGATTGGCCAGCTCTGGTGGCTGCTCCTTAACGCGGCTGTCTTTGGCATGGCCTTGGGGCGACGGCAAGCCTACGACAGCAGTAGCAGTAGCAGCAGACCAAGCATGAATTTTGCAATGACCTTTGTGTGCACTATTGTTCTGGAGCTGGTGTACTACCCAAAGCTGTCGTTGCCGGGCTTCTTAATTTGTGGGTTCATCTTGTGGATCGCCAGCAGGGAGCTGACTCCTTCAGGATATGTTGAGCTTGGGAGCACTGACGAGTCCGTGTATGAGGCTGTCATGGGGCCGGTCCGGCATATCCTTAGTGAACGCAAGTCCAGGAAGATTGCTGCTTTTCTGTTGATCAACACAGCTTACATGTTTGTTGAGTTCGCCAGCGGTTTCATGAGCGATAGCCTTGGGCTGCTCTCTGACGCTTGCCATATGTTGTTTGATTGTGCTGCTCTGGCAATTGGACTATATGCGTCGTACATTGCGAGGCTGCCTGCAAATGGATTGTATAACTATGGAAGGGGCAGGTTTGAGGTGCTATCTGGGTATGTTAATGCAGTGTTCTTGGTGCTTGTTGGGGCCCTGATTGTGTTGGAGTCGTTTGAGAGGATACTCGAGCCTCGGGAGATATCAACAAGTAGCCTTTTGGCAGTTTCTGTTGGTGGACTTTTTGTAAATATCATTGGATTGGTTTTCTTTCATGAGGAGCACCATCATGCGCATGGCGGTAGCTGCTCCCACTCCCATTCACATTCACATTCTCATTCTCATTCACATAATCATGTTCATGAAGATCACCATCACCATCATGATCATGTTCATGAAGATCACCATCACCATCATGATCATGTTCATCAGAGTGCTGATCACGAGAAGACATGTTCTGGTCATCATGGAGACACAAATAAGGGCCATCATCAGAATCACCAACATGATAGCAACAATGCAGAGAATCATCATCAACATAACCATGGTTGTAGCCACAAGCATGGTCACAATGGCCATATGGAACATCACCAGCAGGGTGTAGATCAGGCTCATCAAGATTGCAGCAGCATCAGCAGCGAGCAAGGACTTCTTGAGATTCCACTGATAAATGTGCACTCTCATGGCGCAGAATCTCAGTCTTGTAATGGAGAGGTGGAATCGCCAGAAACCGGAAACCATGCCAAGCCGGCAAGCCGGCGTCACATTGACCATAACATGGAAGGTATCTTCTTACATGTCCTAGCTGACACAATGGGAAGCGTTGGTGTTGTGATCTCAACTCTATTAATCAAGTACAAGGGATGGCTAATAGCAGATCCCATTTGCTCTGTATTCATTTCAATAATGATTGTGGCTTCTGTCCTTCCATTGTTGAGAAATTCTGCTGAAATTTTGTTGCAAAGAGTTCCAAGGAGCCATGAGAAGGACTTCGAAGCAGCACTGGATGATGTTAAGAAGATTAATGGTGTGATTGGAGTCCATAATGTTCATTTATGGAACTTGACAAACACTGATATTGTAGGCACTTTTCATCTTCATATATCAGCCGAAGCTGACAAGTCTGTTATAAGAGAAAGTGCTTCACGGATATTTCAAGAAGCTGGGGTTCAAGATCTGACTATCCAGATCGAATGTGTCGAAAGATAGCAGTTGTTGGTATAGCGACACTTGTTGGTAGTTTGATAGGATTTTGGCACAGATCAAATATATCTGTAGTGCTTAATTCAGGAGCCATCCTTTATGTACCGCTGAAAGGAAATTGCATTAAAATACAGGTTTGCAGCTTAATCATTTTGGTCTGAGCAACTTAATATTTATATGCTGTATATTGTCCATGTCGCATATAGACTTCACAAAAGCTTTCCAATCACATGATGATAAGCAGTTCCAGCTTAAACAAGCAGATTAATGAAGAAAACAAAGAGCACAATTCCAGCAGAAAAGAAAGGAAACCAGAGAATAATGCGAGTTCATTACATGACCATATATAACCAGTTCAAACTTGAGCGAGCAAATTAATGGAGAAAGCAAGCTAGGTAGCAATAAACGAGAAGTGAAGCCTCTAAATTAAAGAGGTACACTGAGTAATGCAAGCGCTAGCATTGTTGGAGCAGAGCAACTGGAGCCTTAGTTCAGCTAAGATATAATCCGTGTGTATCTTCGACATCGAATTGTATCCATTTCATGCACCCTCTCTTATTCATCACCTGGTATGTGCCTACATAATACGGGTATGTCTTTCTCCGTCATCCCCACTGGCCACCACTGCCGTCGATTGTAGCTGTGGAAGCAATGAAGAAATATGTGGGATCTAAAATGAAGCATGTCAAGAATTAATGAAAGAAAGCATCAGATGGATGAGTATAGATACTCCAGATCAATCCTTTTTTGTTTATCATCGTAAACATCATAATAGTCATCATCATCCTCATCATTGGTGTCTTAATTTGGAGACTGAGATGCCAAAAGAGCAACAAGTGAGTAATTAATGTCATGTATTAATTAGGAGGCATGTGCATGTATGTAGGACAACTAGAGGAGTGTAGAAAGATGTAATAGAGAAAAGGCACTTAATTCCTCTGTTGATGAATATCGTGTGTTATTAGATGATCATATCTAGTTGCGTAATCCTCTGTTTTGCTGCTTACTGGGAGAGCCTATATGCACTAACTATTCTTGCTATGGAGTCTATAAGTTTGGTCCCGACTCTTCTTGCTGCATGACCTTTTGTTGCTTGCATCCTCGTGTCTTTAGGCAAGGAGTAAAAAACTATCCTATGGAGGGGAAAAGACTGATGAAAGCATACAGGATAGTATGCAAAAGACATTCCCTTCAGTTCTTGAATCAGAGTGCAGCAGTGAAGAACAAGACGCTTTTTTGGTTGATGAGTTGGTCCAAATAGATTGAGACGCCCCGACCTTAAGCTTCCTCCATTTTGGTCTGGTGGGGAATGCTCTATTAGGGTGTTCCCGTAGTGATCGATGTGAGTGAATCTTTCAAGTCCTTTTGATCTGCAAAACACTGTGAATATTATGGACTGAATATCATATATGTTAGAGCTATTTGTTACGTAGTATTTTTTCCTAAATGTGCTCCACATTGTTTAAGTTCTTGACCATTTTTGTGCTTATAGTTTCAGAGTTCTTTTTTTTCCTTTTGCCTTCTACAATTTGGATGCCGTTGTGAAATGCCATGATCTGAAGTTTGAGTTTGAGGCTGTTAAACGCGATGCAGATATGCGCAGAC